TAACCACTAAGAAGAATGTATGCAATGTGTTAATTATTGAAACTGTCCTACCAATTTGATTTGAAACTATCTCATTGCTATTTGTTTATCAATAAAATTAGGGGAAGAAAATATATAGAAAAACAAAAAAATTAAAAATAAAATAAAAGCAACCAACAGCATGAAGAAGCAACTAGAAAATGAGCAGAGGCACAATGCCAGCTGTTCTTTGGGCAGAGGACTAACACCTAGAATATATAAAGAACTCAAAAACATTAGACACCACCCCCCCAAAAAAATACCCAATCAAAAAATTGGCAAGAGAAATAGACACTTCACAGAAGAAGTACAAATGGCCAATAAATACATGAAAAAATGTTCAGCATCTCTGGCCATTAGAGAACTACAAGCCAAAAGAACACTGAGATTCCATCTGTCTCTAGAAAGAATGGCCATCACCAAGAAATCAGATAATAAGAAATGCTGGTGAGGCTGTAGGGAAAAAAAAAAAAGAGTTCTATTACATTGCTGATGACAAGGAAAACTAGCACAAGCACAATGGAAGTCAGTATGGAGAGTCCTCAGAAAGCTCAATCTAGAAATTCCATTTGAGGGCTGGGAATACAGCTCAGTGGCACAGCACCTGCCTGGCAAGCACAAGATAGATAAGTAGGTGGGTCGGTAGGTAGGTAGGTCGACAGATATTAATTCTATTTGACCCTGTCATTCCCCTTCTAGATGTCCACCTGAAAGAGGTAAAGACGTCATATTAGAGATGCATGCACGCCCATGTTTATAACTGCACAATTCATAAGAGCTAAATCTTGGAAACAGCCTATACATCCATCACCAGATGAATGGATGAAGAAAGGTAGTAATTACATACAAGGAAGTACTACCCTACCATAAAAAGGAAACATTTGCGTCATCTGTAGGACAACAGATGCATCTAGAACATATAATGTTAAGTGAAAGAAATCAGACACATAAGCTTAACTACTGCATGGCTTCCATTATATGAGCATTTCAATGTATAAACAAAGAGAAAAATAAATGACAGGTAATAGGAAACAGGAAGTTAGCTCTTTTGCAAATAGGAAGGTGAGCAAGAGAGGGAGAGAGGTGGGGAAAGGGACATAAAATGAATTCAGATGCATTACGTTCCTGTACCAGCTCCCCACGATGAGCGCAAGCATCATGCACTGCAAATGTGGACTGATCAAATGGAAAACACTCTAAATGGTAGACCCGAGCCAGCGCAGGCAGAGCTGGATGAGCTGGGGACATCCTGTGACAGCAGAAGGTAAGGAGGTGCTGGAAAATACAGCGGCCACGTGACACAGGTGCAGAAGGCAGCTGGAAGGTGCTGCTCCACACCAAATCTGGGACAATTGCAGCACCAAAAAAATTAAGGGCATTAATGAATGACAAACTATTGGGAGGCAATGAACGCATGAGTTCACACCAGTAATTAAGTAAGAGAGAAGGAAAGGCTCTCACTAACAGAATGCCTAGAGCCTGCTGGTAAAGGTAGCTGGAATTCTGGAGCAAGGAAACTGTCATTTTGCAAGCACCATAACACAAGTTTCAGGGGACAAATCTCCTCAATGGATGCTAACTCTAGGCAAAGATTTTTAACAAGTAGGGTGTTCGCGTGGTCTCAAAGTTTCTGCCCATAGACTTCCTTGTTAGCACGGGGAGAGGAGAGAGAATAGCAATTACTCAGTGGAAAAACTGAACCGTATCTTGACTCGTGATCAAAACAAACATCACCAATGAAGGGTCAGTGAACACTCTGCTGTGGGTGTGATTCCTGCAAGGCCAGCACTATTCACACAGTGGTCTGCAGCATTACCTACTTAGTGGTCTGCACAGAAAGCACAGCCTAGAAGTCATCACAACCAAACATGGGCGAACCGAACATGAAGAACAGTCTAGTTTCCTAAGAGGCGGAAGAGGGGTGTGGGTGCATTGTTCCAAAATGTCAGGGTCAGAGAAGGCAATGAAGCCTAAACACAACAGGTGCTAAGGAGACGTCACAATTAAACACAATTCTTGACTATAAAATAGGGTCTGACCCAGAGAGGGAAAAATCACTCTAAATCCTACTGGGTCATCAACAATATTGGATACAAAGACTGTTGTATCTGTCCTAAATGTTCTAAGTGATAAGTACTGCGGTTATATAAGAAAACATCTATCCCTTAGAGTATTTACACTAAAGTATTTAGGGGTAAAGGGACACAAGATTGGATATATATAATTTACCTTTGGAACAATGATAGTGAGAAAAAGGGTACAGAGGCAGAGTGATCAAATGACAAAGCCAAAGTAAATGACGTCCAACCCTGTAGGTGAAGCTGGGAAAGCCTGCCAGGAACTGTCTTGGTACTCTACTTTTGCAACTCAAAGTTTGAGGTTATTTCCAAGTAAGAGTTTTTAAAAATTATGACCCTGAGTCACCTGTAACATTTTTAATGCTATTCAATATGTTCCATTTACCAAAAAGAAAAAAAAAAAAAAAAAAAAAGAAGAAGGATGTGAGGAATAGATTTTTTTTTTGGCAGTGCCAGGTATTGAACTCAGGACCTTGCACTTTCCAGGCAAATGCTTATTCTACTGAGCTGTCTCCCTGGCCCTTTAAAATAAACTCTTTCTTTGTACCAGGCATTGAACTCATGACCTCATGCTTGCCAGGCAGGTGGTAAAGCCACTGAGATATCTTCCCAACCTGGGAATAGGTTTTTAGAAAGAGTGTGAACTAAAAAAAGAAGCTTAATATTTGAAGTGTTGATGTTTAGAAGATGGATCTCTGGTTCACTTTGAAAGCCCTTTTGTGGAAGCCCCCATTCCTCAAATGCAGAATAAAGCAAATGTGACTGTGCACGATCCTCTTGTCGCCAAGGCTGTAAGTAAAGCATCCTGTCCAGTGCCCTGCATCTTGCTCTTAACCCTGAAGGTACCACCATAAAAGTGCATTTCTTGCTTCACAGAAGAGAATGACTGCAACCCACAAAGACCAACCTGTGTGACAATGGCCAGGCCACCCCAAGAGCAAGGAGCCCTGCCAGATCCTTTGAGAGGACTTTCATGCAGATAAAAGATGTTGAAAGACAGTGCCATGTTCCCTGCATGCTGTCCCCGTGGTAGGCAGGGCTGAATCCCGCACACCACGCATTCAGACAGTGACCAGACCCTGCATCTGAGGAACCCCAGGCCATAGCTGAAGTTGTGAAATACGGGGACTGCTTCAAGTGGCTCGGTGCCAGGGAAGGAGAGCCACAGGTATGGGACGAACAGATGGCACCTGTCACTAAGTCCTCCAGGGCCCCCTTCAACACAGCTGTTCCCCTCCTGCCCACTTTGCTCCACCTGTCCCTTTCCCTATCCCCAGAGGTTCCCCCAACCAGCCCTGCCCAACCCAGTGATGGTGGACAGGGAGGGGAGCTGCTCCATCACCACCACCCAACTTGGCAGCTGGCACCACCCACACTCACAGAAAACACTTGGGTCTCCCCAGGTTTGTCCAGGTTCTCAAAAACAGCCTCCTGCCTGTCTGCGCGGACCTCGATGAGGTTCTGCCTGTAGTTCACAGTGAGGTTCCTCTCCCGGATGATCTCCTGCAGGGCATCCGCATACTTCTTCACCCCGAAAATCGCCCCAAGAGAAGTGTTGAAGATGATGTTGGCCTTGGATCGCTTTCCAGTCTGAGAAAAGGAAGAGGAAGAATCAATCCCAGAGCCCTACTCTCCCTTCCCTTCCATTTTTATTTCCTTTGGAACTAGATAGAAATTCAACCTGCAGGAGAGAGCCTCCCACTACCACACATTTTGGAGGGGTGATGTGCGCCTGAGCCCAGCACCACCTCATTTCCTGTCCATGATGCCAGTTCAGTGAGTGCACCCTTGGTGAGACAGAGGTGGGCACTGCCCAGCTGCAGGCTGGAGGGGAAGGAAGAGAAAGCCTTCCCAGAAGTCTCTTCCCACTCAGGTTTGCAATTCCATTAGGTCCTTTTTGCTGTTGCTTTGTTTTGTTTTGTTCTGCTTTGTTTTGTTTTGTTTTGTTCGACACAGTGTCTCTGAATAGTTTAGGTTGGCCTTGAACTCATTAGATAGCCCAGGCTGGTCTCAAATTCACAGCAATCCTCCTGCCTTAGCCTCCTGAGTGTGAAGAGTAAAGGCATGTAGGGTCGGCCAGTTAGCTCAGTGGACTAAAGCGCTTGCTTAGGCAGGTACAGTGACTGAGATTCCATCCCTAACATGCCATGCTGGCCCCACCACCTGGGGGGCACCCTGAGAGGGCAGCTGAGACTGGGCGTGGTGGTGCACACCTGTAATCTCAGCACTTGGGAGGCTGAAAACAGGAGGATCACTACAAGTCCAATCTGTGGTGAGACCCTGTAGACCCTGTACTAAATACACTTAAAAAAAAAAAAAAAAAGATTAAAGGCATGTGCCAGCATGTCCCAGCATGTCCCACTCCTTTTTGCCTTTTATAAAAATTGATTTTTTGCCTATTAAAATTGCAAGGCTGTATTTTGAGAACCAGAAAATATTCATAAACTTGAGCTTGACTGGAAACAATTGAGGTTTGTACACATGTGTATAAAAATTATCAATTTGCAATTATCTAACTTCAAATGTGGAAATTTTAGCCAGGCATGTTGGCGAACACCTGTAATCTCAGCACTGGGGAGGCTGAGGCAAGAAGATCACCAATCTCTAACCTATTGCCCCAGTGGACTTTTAGATATATAGTAAAAAGCATGTTACACAAATTATTTGATGACATGCAATACAACTAAATTCATATGCACACCAATTAGAACCATATTTTTTAAATCCATAGAAAAAACTCTGGAGGGACATTGATGATGAAAGCACTACTAAAGCAATTGGATTATGAGTTACCTCTTCCTTTTGTCTATCTTATCAACTTCAAGTTATATAACTATATAGATGTGCAACAAAAATTTAAAACTAAAGAAGGCCCTAGGGTAGGGACAAGGACCCCAGCGATGGCCATGTTCCCACGCCTGCACAGCCACTCTGCTGGAACTGGAAACCCACCTTCCTGAAGTAGGCTTCGGCTAAGTACATGATCTTCTGCGGGGCTCCAGCGCACTTTACGGGCGTGTTTGGGAAGGTGAAGATGGCATTGCCCTCCCTGAAGTCCTGCAGCGCCTTCCATGTCTTCTCTACTGTCTTCTCCGAATAATTGGACCCTATTTTGGGGTAAGCAAAACCCTCAGGTAGGCCCTTAATCTGCAACCAAGCACATAGAAAATGTGTTTTAAATCAAATTATAAATGCCTTTAGGGTCCTAGTTCCTTGAGGACAAGGTGCCAGCCCCGCCACACTTTTGGAGAACCAGTTCCCCTTGGGAAGAGGAGCATGGCTTGTACCTAAATGCCCCCAAAATCTCCCATGTTAGAGGTTTCAAAAGGTGGCTGGATTGTGGAGGTGCTGTACTCATGTGTGGACTGGTTAACCTACAGCTAAATGTGCTGTTAGGGCAGGGGCCTGGCTGGAGGTGGGTCACAGGGCATGACCTGGGAGGATGTGTTCTTGCCCCCAGGCCCCCCTGCTCTCCCTGCTCCTGGGCTATGAGTTGAGTAGTCTTTCCCTCTCACAACCCTCTGCCCAGCCCTTTCTGCCTTGGGGCCAGCCAACCATGGACTGCACCATCTGAAGTCATGAGCCAACATAAGCCTGTTCTCCTTTAAATTGTGGGTGTTGTATTTTGTCCCCTTGACAGGAAAGTGACTGAAGCAAAGAGATAGGCAGGACCCAAGGCCATTCATTTATATCAGCAGCACACCAAATTCACATGACCCCCTCAGGCTGTACCACATCAAACTCTTGGAAATGGCATGACAATCAGGTCATCCGAAGCATGAGCTGTAGAACCTGCAGACCTGGCCTGAGGCCCAGCTTTTCTACTTAATAGTTGTGTGATCCTGGATACATTCCTAACATTTCTAAGCCAGTGGACTCCAGGAGCAGTGTGCTGGGAACTGGCCAGGGATGCAGCCTGTCAGGCCCCATTCTAGACCCACTGAGGCAGGACCCTGAGGCAGGCCCAGAAATCGGCCTCCACGCCACTGCCTGGTGGATGACTTCTGTGTTCCTGCATGCAGCGCACACCAAAACATCTCCCACACCCTCGCCAGGGATAAGTCACAAAACACAAAGACTTCCTGGGCTGCCTCCTAAGAGGCTCTGGCTGGGATCCTGGTCCTTCAGTCATGACCTGGTGAGCACCAAGCTCTACGCGCTCCAACTCCTCACCCTCTGTCTCCAACAGGCCCCTAGAAATCGGAACGATGACTTGACTTGCTCCACTATGTTTCAGGGAAATAAACTCAAACCTCACAACTGCCAGGTAGCGTCTGGCTCGCAGAAAGAGACCTCAGGAGCTGGCAAGGCCGCATGGTAGTGCTGTGCCCCCACACCATGAAACCCAGCTGTCCCTTCAACATCTAAAGGTGGACTGCTGGAATCCCAGCCTTAAAGTCTCCTAAGAACTCTCAATCTAAGCCAGGCATGGCAGCCCACACTTGTAATCTCAGTACTTGAGAGACTGAGGCAGGATGCCTGCCACAAGTTCCAAGTCAGCCTGAGCTACATAGTGAGTTCACGGCCAGCCTGAACTACATAACGAGACCCTGTCTGGAAAAAAATATAAATTTAACTAGCAAAAGAAAATTTAATCTTTAATACAGCTGACTCAGTGCACATAGAAAGTCAGGTTTTTTATCACTGTCAGAATAGCAGCTGTTGTACATGAATTACTATCGCAGCACACACATAATGAACTCTGATTAAAGCTTAAAGCTGAAATACATTGTTATCACTGACAGAATCCTAGAGAAGACTTTTTTACAGCATAAAAGGACCACTGAGAAATAAAAGTAGGAGAAGATTTTCAGGACCTCTTTCTTGTCAAAGTGGATATAAAGCAACAAAATACAGTGTTTGATCTTGGCATAAATAGGCCAATTTAATGTAGGAAAAACTTAAAACTGTACCTTCTCATAGTCCAGCTGGATTCCAAGAGCAAGAATAAGATATTTGTAGGAGATCTGAAACACACAAAAAAAGAAAGATGCTTTAGACCAAATCTCAAAAAGCAGAAAGCACCAGGGGGTGCACACCTGTAGTCCCAGCCCTGGGGAGGCTGAGGCAGGAAGATCACTGTGAATTAGGCCAGCATGGGCTATACAAATGAGTTTGAAGCCAGCCTCAAACTACCTAGAGAGATTCTGTCTCAAAAAAAAAAAAAAAAAAAAGAACTGACTGCCCGAGATGTGTGAGGTCTGTGACAGTTTTGAACTTATCAGTCTTGGTGGGGGATGGGTGTGCACACTCTGGGGGAGGGGCCTCCTGCAACCCTTCTGCATGACCCTTACTGCTCCACAGGCACTGTGTGACCTGCCTGGCTATCGGACACCTACAGTCTTACACTGTAGAGAATAACAAAGAGGCCATAATTCTTTGTGCCTTGCTTACATTAAAATATTTTCAGACTGAGAGGTGGAAAAGGAGTTCCTAACGTTAAAAAGACCATCAGTATTTATTAAAGCTAGTTGTAATGCGTGCATCTGACCTGTCACACCAACTGGAAACTAGCGCTTCGAGGGTTCTTGGGAAGGATGAGATGGAACAAACCTGCTGCCACTTACTGACCAAATATGGGCATGGGGACCATTCACGCTGCACATCAGAACCCCCATAAATAGGAAGCTGGAGGGGCCGGGTCAGGATCAGGGCAAACACAGGCAGTGTGTGGAAGAAGGGTGGAAGCATGAGGCCACCACTGAAAAGCTGGAGGGAGAGGATGGCCTTGAGGCTCAGGAGCCAGCCGGGGGAGGAGCGCCGGGGCTCTGCCCAAATGGAGACACAGAGCCAGCTCACTGAGCAAGGCCCCACTGGGGCGAGGGGTTCCAAGACCCAAGAGCTCACGGCTCTGTCTGGGCTCTGAGCGCAGCAGGCAGCCGATGCGGTCCTGCCTTGGATTGCAGGACACTCAGCTGCAAGGTGGCCAAGGCTCCTGTCAGATCTCTCACCCTCACCACAGCGCCCTGAAGTCCTCAGCACGAGTGCCTGATGTTTTGTACCCATGTCATTCTCCTCTCTGCCTGGGTCACTCCCAGGGGTAAAGGACACACCTTCTTCCCTAAAGTCCTGGACTCTAGAAGGGTCATTAGACTAAACTGAGGTACTAAGGTAGTGTTGGATGGATGGGTGGGTGGGTGGGTAGATGGATGAATGAATGGATGCATGGATGGATGGAAGATAGACACATGCATGTATGCACGCACAGGTGGATGATTTATGATTTCATTCCTTGCAAAACAACTTATTTGCATGGAGAGCACAAGGTCCTGAGTTCGATTTTGGATACAACAAAAAAAAAAAAAAAAAAAAACATATATACAGTTGATCCAAAAGGGCACACAACATGAGCCTCTTCGGCTCTATCTTCCCTGTCCATAGGGAGCCAGCACTCTAACATTCCCAGACCCGCAGGCAGGTGGGCCTGCTGATGGCTGAGTGAACACTGTGGAGCCACCAGAATTCGAGGCGACAGGGAGCCTGGCGCTGCAGGTCATCAAGCTGATGGCTTGTGCCTGCCTTCATGGTCGCATCGGAGTGTGACAGTGATGATTTCCAAGGAGCAGGGCAGACAAGCTCTCCATCAGGGAGAGCCAGCGCGGAGGCAAGACACAGCCGCACCAGCAGGAGAGCAAAAGGAAGCCTCGAGTACCTGGAGCAGAGCAAGTTCAGGTTCGCAAACCAGATGGCCTCAACCTCAGCGGGAAGGAATTGCGAGAACTCGAGTGCAGGACTCCTGAGTAGCCGCGGAGGACAGGACAGACCCGCAGAAGGCTAAATAAGGCCAAGGATCCTCGATTGGTGCAGGGTGGGGGCGGGCAAAGTCCTGACACTAAAGGTTCACAAATAGGTGCTAACTCCTGGCCAAGCCCTTGGCTCAGCTTACTTAACAACGTCTCCTAGTAATTTAGAGAAAGACAGAGCTGCAGGGCCTGTGTGCTGCACGCAAGATGCTTCCTCTTTTGGTTTTTTTCCATGTTCTTTTTTAAAACAGTAACATTTCACGAACATTCGCCCATCCGCGCAAGCCTCTGTTCTAAGTGCTTTACATGTCTCCACTCATTCATGTGTGATCAAGGTGCATACATAGCGAATGTTTGAATTTTAAAATGTATTGCAGTAAAAGCCGCATGACCATTAGCCTCTCCCCCCCTGAACACACTTGTCCCACTGTTCTTGCCACTTTCTCAGGCACTTCTGGAAGCCCTCTTCCTGGAGGGTCTTTACAGGACGTGATCCAATAAGGGGGCCACCGCCGGCGCAGCAGGCTCCTAAGAGTGCGACACTGTCCTCATCCACCTTCTTCTCTGGATTTAACACTGTGCAACTCCTGGCTCTTCTCCCAGGGCAAAACGACCAGGAAAGGGGAAACACGATCAATGGGTCCAGGACACTGAGCCAGCCGTGACAGTACCACCAATGACACTCCCAAGAGAGGAGGGCCAGGACTGCTTCAGAAAGTGGCAAGTGGCAGGAATGAGGGATAGCACGTGTGAAGTGAGGGAGAGATTTTGAGGGAGATTATTTATTTATTTGGTACAGGGTCTCACTACACAGCTTGGATTCACAGTGATCCTCCTGTCTCAGCCTTCCCAGTGCTGGGATTATAGCCCTGCACCACCATGCCCACTTTCTGGGCAGCATGGCGTGTAGTACCAGGGATCGAACCCTGGTCCTTGTGCTTGCCAGGCAGGCGCTTAGACCGCTGAGCTATAGCCCCAGTCCACAATCACCATTTTTTATATTACCTCATGACGCTAACTCTAGCCTCATCAATAAGGTACTATGATTATTCTCATTTTACAAAGGAAGAAAGTTAGACACAGTTTGCTCTGAAATACTTATTTCCTCAGCACCTTCTGCGGGTCCAGTCTACGCGGTCCGAGCACAGTGATAAACAGGAAGACCCAGTTCCTGCCCTGCAAGCATCCACGCAGCGGGAGAGATAAGATTGCCAGCTAATGACGGGAAGCCGTCATTATTAAATCACAGAACGCTAGGATAGCAGGACACAGGAGAACTTGACCAAGCAGGTCAACGAGGGCCTCAAAGCCTGGGCTGAAGGTGAGTGGTAGAGAGGGCGCCTGGGGAAAATAAAGGAGGCAGAGGTGTTCAAGGAGCCCAGAGGCCCTGTGCAAGCAGAACTAGGTCAAGTCTGGAAAAAGAGCAAGGGTCCTCCACACCTGGGACCCGGGGCAGGAGAAGAGCCAGAGATGCCCCGAGGCCAGATTTCTGTAGTGACTTCAGCTCAGTTTTTCACCTGGTGGATCAGACAAGAAAGCGTAAACTAAAAAGGGAACAGTGCGGTAAGCTGTGAAGAATGGTGATCAATTTACACTACCTTTCAGAAAGCTCCGAGGGCCCCATCACAGAAAAAAAGCCTTAAACTTCAGGGAAGCCATCTGTGGGGACAGCTAGGAAAGCCTGTCAGCTGGCTGAGAATCGTACATCCTAGAGACTCAGAAGGTCAGGAGGATGAACGCAAGTCAGCACGGTGATCACATATGAGAGGCTCAGGCCAGTCTGTAATGCCCTCTAGGAACTATTTCTGCTTAAGGAAACCCTGAGAGAAAGTCGCTCCGGGTGGCACCCACTTCTTCCCAAACATAAAACAAGGCTCTGCAGCTTCTCTGAGCGTCTGAGCTTCAGCAAAAACCAGGGGCCAGCAGGGGGGAGGCTGAGTGCCCCTCATTCATTCTCAAGAGGCAAAACAAGTTGCTGGGTACACAGGTTCAGACCTGCGATCCCTGCGTTCCAGGAGGCTGAGACAGGAGCATCAAAAGGGCCAGGCCAGCAGGCCTAGCAACCTAGTGAGACCCTTTCTCCAATTTTTAAAAGAGGCTAGAGATGTAGCTCTGTGCAAAGGCACAGGGTTCAATCCCCAGTATTAGAGAGGGGGCAGGAGAGGGGAGGGGGAGGGGAAGGCAGGGGAGGAGGAGAGAGGAGAGGAAGAGAGGGGAAGGAGAAAAGGGGAGGGGAAAGGGGAGGGGAAGGAGGAGAGGGGTAGGGGAAGAGGAGGGGAGGGGAAAGAGGGGAGGGGAAGGACGAGAGGGGAAGGGGAAGAGGAGGGGAGGGGAAAGAGGGAAGGGGAAGGAGGAGAGGGGTAGGGGAAGAGGAAAGGAGGG